GGTGACAGACTCATGGATAGGATCCAAGAAATGGTCAATCAATTCACGGTAGTCTCCTAAAAGGAATTAGACCCACATTACCCACTTTTCTCTATCACCCAAAATGAGTCAGCTTTTCAGTAATTTATCTAGCTCTTTCAAAAGACCTGTAACTTATAAGGAAAATACTTTGACATATAGGAAATCCTGGATAGAGTGGGAGAAAAATGTGGAACAAAACTTAAAATCATCAAAAGGATCAGGCTTCCTGGTCTGATGGAGACTGGTGAAACCCCCAAGACTGTGGCTCCTAGTCACCCCTCAGGCTGGGAATTAGACTCACTCCTGTGGTTTCCAGGCAAACAATCGATAGGCCTACAAGGTGAACGTTTACACTGGGTAGGTAAATTTTTTAGAAAAATCAACATGGGAGATCAGAAGGGCAGCATTTGCACAGAGATAGCTCAGAGGGCAGGAACGCATAGGAAAGATGGGCACAGGGAAAAGGTAAACACAGGGAGGAAGTGGAAAGAGAGCTCTTATATTATAGGGATTGTAATCAAATGTCATGAAACAAAATGTGTATGAAATGTTGAATGGAAAATGTATTTGCTCTGTAAACTTTGATTTGTACCTTGTTATCCCATTTCCGCTCCAGGGGAAATTTAGAATAATTCTTAACCTGAGTCTGTCTATTCATAGCCCTAACTCTATCATGGTAACTGCCCTTCTCCCTGCCATCCGAAGGTCCCTCTGTTTTGAATTGCTTACACTTCCCAGAACACACCATGCTTTCTCACACTTTGGTGCCTCTGCAAATCCCATTTCTTCATCCTAGAATGTCCTAGCCCAGCTTGTCTGACTGGCAAATTCCCAGGCATCCATAAAACCTCTACTGAAGCACAGTCTCTTTGACTTCAGACACCACTTAAGGAGAGCTCATCACTCCTTCCAGTGTGCCACCCTTGTGCCTACTATACACCTCATTTTTCACCCCTCATATCATTAAATGTCTTATCTCCCATACAGGATTGTAAATGTCATAATAGCAATGACCAGAGCCAGGGTCAGGGATTATTTATTTAACTCTGTAGTCCTGGTGCTAATAGTGTCAAAATTATGTTAGGTACTTAATGTTTATTGCATAATTGAGTAAAAGAATGAGCTCCTAATAGATTGCCAAATCAAAGCCTAGTCCATTACATCTGATTATTCATCACATCCCCTGGGTCTAGCACATGCCTACTAAATTCTCTGGGATAAGGGGATTAAATGACTGAATGTGTTTGAAAAGAGCAATTTTCTTGTTCATTTCTAATTTTCTCTGTGATCAGTACTTTTCCCAGTGGAAAATCAGCTTCCTTCCACGGGCTCAATTCTGAGTTCCCAGAAGTTGTTTTCCCTATAATGTTACTCTGCCTATCTACTTGTTGGCTGAAGTTGAATTTTATGTATATGCAAAACTGAAAGAAGAAAAAAGCAGACAGGCTTACTAACTGAATGAATGGACCCCCCGAGGAGATTAGTGTTTAAAGTCAATATGGCTCTGGTCTGCTTGGAAATTGTGACTGTTAAGTGTGATAATATTTGCGAAAGGATTTTATAAAGAGATAAATGTATAGTAAAATCGATAGTGATACACTATAGTAATAAAGTTTGAGAGTAATGTCTCCCAGAATTTACCCTGTTCCTTCTCCCTAAAAGCCCAAAGAGTAAATTGTAAATCTTTCTATTTGACCTTCATGCAGGTTTGGCATCATCAATATTTAACAGAGTGAGAAGCATGTAAGCAATTGAATATACTATTTTAGAGGTCTGTAAGAATTAATATAATTTTCCAAAGTTTGCCATTTATAAATAAACCACTTAAGAGTAGGTAAACTGCAGTTTTTCTTTATGTTAAACAAAAAATATATAAAATAGAAATAATTATAGTTGTTGTATATAAAACAACATACTGAGAAAACTTCCTTACCCATGTATCTGTTACTTTGCTTAAATTTAATGATTCTTTGTTTCTCCTTGTGAGAAAAAAAAGCCATTTTTTCTTATATTTAAGGTGTAAATTAATATTACTAACTTGCCAATCACAAACTATGACTTTTAGTACTTAGGTTTTCTTTTTAATCATGAAAAATAATAGCATATTTAGCTTCTGCTAAAGTATTGTAAAATATTTTAAGTGAAAAGAAGTATTAGGTTATATAAAATTGATTTTTTTTTTTCCTGCAAACTTTTTTTTTGAGTATCAGTTGTATGGTACTCATGAAAAAAGAAAAAGAGTAAAATGGTATGAAAATAATCACTTTAAAAGAGGGAGGAAGGAAAAAAATGTGTGAAATATCCAAGGTGGTGTAATGGAAAGCATAGGGAAATTAGATTGGGAATCAGGTAATTGGGGTTCTGGTTTTGTCTTTGCTACTAATTAGCCCTTTTTGTTTTAGTTTATTCTTCTAAACACAGAATGTGTTTTCTCAAGTGGATTTGAATTTGATAGCTTTAGAAGACAAGTTTAGCAGAATATTTCTTGCTGGCGCCAAATCAGACCGTGGTTCTTCTGAAAGCATGTTATTGGGTTGATTCTTTACTGTCCAAAAACCAAACCAAGCTCACTGCCATGGAGTCGGATCCAACTCATAGTGACCCCTCCTTGGGTTTTCAAGGCAGTATCACTAAGGAAGTAGATTGCCCAACCTTTCTTCGGAGGAGTGGCTGGTGGGTTTGAGCCCTCAGCCTTCTGGTTAGCAGTCAAATGCCTTGTTGTTTGCCACTGAGTTGATTCTAAGTCATAGCGACCCTACATGACAAGAGTAGAACTGCCCCATAGTGTTTCCTAGGCAGTAATCTTTATGGGAGCAGATGCCAGGTCTTTTCTCCTGCTGAGCAGGCTCCGTGGATCCAATCACGACCTTTCCTTTAGCAGCGGAGTGCTTAACAGTGGCTTATCCAGGGTCCTTACTGTTTTATATTAGAACACCTATGGATATTTTTCTTCCTTTTTTGGATATGTAACTAGGCAAAATTCTACTCTTTGCTGCTGGTTCTCTATGGCAAAGCCTCCTACACTTCAGGCTCCATAGGAGCCCAGGAGATCAGGAAAGAGTCACACCGAAGCTTGAAACACTCACTATTTGCCATTACTATAAACCCAAGGGTGGGGATGTAGGTTGGACTCTGCTACACATGAAGTAGTCTCTTCAGGAGGTTGCTATGACAATTTGCAAACAATAGGGCCAAAGGGACTCCAGCAGGAGGTGGCTCCCTTCCTATTTGAATTGAGCCTACACTCCATCAGGCTTGTACACTTGGTTCACGAAAGGGGCCACCAATACAACGGGACAGAGCATAATGGACTCCAGTCCCCAGGAGAACTTTAGAGACAGGGAACCTCTCAGGGAGGAAGCGTGCGGCATATTCTCCTGTGTTGTCATCTGGGATTTTTTTTTTTTTTTTTTTTTCCCTTCTTTTGCCTCCATACTGTTGAAGTGGCAAAACCTATATGACCTTAGACAAAGGCGTGTGCCAAACACTGGGCGTGCAGTTGTGAGATGGTCGAAGTTTTTCCATGTTTAAGGGAAAGAGGGCCTGTAGACGGCAAACCAAAAGGGCAGGGAAATTCTCACTGTGTGTGGGAAGGAAACTAGGAGACTTCTCTATGAGAGCAATTAGAGGAGTCCAGCAAGGGTGAAAGCTCTCAATTGCTAACAGGAAAGGTTATCCGTGACTGCAATTCACCAGCCTCTCTGGGGAAAAATATGTGATAGTCTGCTTCCGTAAAGATTTACAGTTTTGGAAACCCTATAAGACAGTTTTACTCTGTCCTACAGAATCATCGCTGTCAGTCGGACCTGACTTCACAGTTTGATTTGGTTTGGTTTTCTCCCTTATGCCAGAGAGCTGAAAGAAAGGTGTGTCTCTCCCAGTGGCCGCTGGGGGAAAGACTCGGAGTTGTAAGGAAATGGGAGGTGTCTCTGATGTTTATTTTTGCCTAGCAACCCACAGCCAACTGCTTCCCCTGCTGCCTTCCACACGCGCCACTCTGCCTCCTCTTGTCCTAGCGACTGGAGAGCGGTCACTTGGTGTCAGTAAATCCGGGAGGGTGTGTGTGGTGGAGGTGGTGGTAGGAGGGCGCCCCCTCCTTACCCTACATCCAGGGTCACACGGCTAAGCTGCAGGGGCTTGAATCTTAGAGGTGATCTGTCCAAACTAAGTTATCTACATGAAAAATTATTGGCAGAGGGTATTAAGTCACTGGGACCGGAAGGGGGGACAGTATTGTTTTTGAGCAGCCATTAGGTTCAAAAAACTGAAGATGCATTTGTGTTTAGGGGCGCGCATTGATGGAGAGGGATTTCTGCAGCGATTTCAGTAGGAGGGAAACAGTGGTAGGTTGCATTGTAGAGAAAAGGAGGGGCGCTGCAGGAGCTGGAAAGGCCGAGGTGGGGAAAAGGTTGCTAGTGGGGGATTCTAGGGGAGCTGGGCAGACTCCGCCCGGAGAGGGAGGTAAAGGGCTAGCTCAGGCTGCAGAGTTTTCCGGGGAGTGGAGGGGTGGTTATGCAGATGATTTGGTGAGGGGAGGGACTCCTGTGGGTGGTTGGTTGGGGGTGGGGTGTACAAGAGTGTGTGTGGCTTGGAGTTGGGGGGAGTCCGGGGGAGGGGCTTGTAGCAGTAGTGAAGGGGAGCGGGGGCGGGGTTGCCCTCTGGGTATGCGCTGTGCGCGGGCGCCTGAGTGTGTGTCTGTGTGTGTGCGTGTGTGTTGCAGGGGTGCGCGCGTGCGCGCGCAGGAGGAAGCTCCCGAGTGAGTCGGTCTTTGCGGCCCAGGCCGCTTCCCTGAGCCCTTATGTGAGGGATTCGGGGAGGCGAGCGGTGCGCAGGGGAGGGCGAGGCATGTGCACGGGCCGGAGGGTGCTGCAGCCGCCCGAGGAAGAGGAGGACGGTGGCGGCGGTGGCGGCGGCGGCGGCGGCGGAGAGGAGGAGACCTGGGTGCTCGCGGCGGCGGGCCCCGGCCGAGGGGATGCAGCGGACTGTGTGTGTCTGGCTGTAGTTGACTCGAGGCGTCGAGAAGGCGCCGGAGACCCGTGTGAGGGGCGACCAGGAGGCGGTGGCCGTGGCTGTGAGAAGGAGCCGCAGAAACAGCAGCAGCGGCGGAGACGGCAGCCCTGAAATGCATTTTCCTTTCCAGCGGCCATGTTAACCAGGAAACCTTCGGCCGCAGGTCCCGCCGCCTACCCGACGGGTAAGGAGGGCCGGGCCTGAGAAGCGCCCCCGGCGCCCGCCCCAGTCTACGGCCCCAGGCGAGCCCTCGTGGCGCGGGCAGCCGTTGCCAGCCGGACCTGGAACAAAGTCTGTGCCGCTGTCTGGCGGCGCGGGGAAGCCCCTGCGCTGACCGCGCGCCTTGGCTTCAGCTCTGTTCATTGTTGCACAAGGGGCCGGAGGCTCCACCGAGTGGGAGCGCTTTGGCCCAGCGGCAGTCCGCCCTGGCGGGAGCAAGGGAGACCACGGTCCTGGGCCTTCCCCAGGCAGGAGCCGGCGGGCGGGAGTGGACTGCTCTGGGCTTGAGGAGGCTGTTTTGCCCTTCTCGGTGGCACTAACCTCCTTCACGTCCAGCTGCCGCCTGCAACGTGGGCCTCGAAGTCTTGGCCTAGCTTGGTTTTTCCGTGGGGTCGCGAACTAGCTAGTGTGCTAAGGACCCGACTTAACTTTGCAGCTGCCTGGGCGCCGCCCGTGGGTGCGCACTGGGCATCTGTGTCCCGGACATCCATCACGTCCCCCTCCTTGCCATTTTTTTTCTGTCTCGATCTTTCCCCTGAGTGCCGAGGGGGTTTGCTACCCAGAGGGGTGGGGCGGGGCCGTGGGCTCTGGGTGACTTTCTCCCCCTTGACCCTCTTTTGTCTCCTCCCGCGCGTGGTCCCAGGCCGAGGAGGGGACAGCGCCGTGCGTCAGCTTCAGTCTTCCCCCGGGCTTGGTGCTGGAGCCCCCCGGAGCGGAGTGGGGACTGGCCCTCCCTCCCCCATCGCCTTGCCACCTCTTCGTGCTAGCAACGCTGCTGCCGCAGCCCACTCGGTAAGACCCACCCCGCGAGAGGCCGGGGGGAGGTGGAGAGGGATCCTGGGTCAAATACTGCCAGACTTGTGGAGTTCTGACTCCAGCAGAAGAGAGATCGAAGTGCGAGAGGCTTCATGCCCCTGGCCAGTGGCCTCTCCTCGACGCCGCCCTCTGCAATTGGGGCGAGCCCAAAAGTTCAGCCACAAAGGAAGATTCGTGGCGTGGGCCCCTGATTTCGCCTCCTGAGCCCGCCCACCGCTGGCCCCCTCTGCCCCCCTCTTCCTCGGAACTTCCTCCTGCTTCTTTCCTTCACTCTGCCCGGGTTTTTTTTTCTTCGGTCCCAGAGCTCCCTTCTCTGACCCGGTAAACATCCCTCCGCTCCCCCTTGTGGGTGGTGGGTATTTATAGAAACATATGTGTTAGGGGACAGCCGGTTGCTCTGCCCGGAAAATCGATCCCCTGAAGAGCTTCCCAGGCCTGGCTCCAGCCAGTAGGGAGCACCCGCCAATTGTCCCCCGCGTGTGTAAGCATGTTTTATGAGTGCTACAGGTTTGAGCACACAGAAATTGTAATTAACAGAAACAGAAATAAGAGCAACAGCGGCAACAGTCGAAACCAAACAAACCACCTCTTTAGGATTCTGCAGTTGGATATTGTTCTAAAGGAAAGGGTCAGTTTAGCTGTGGAGGTGGGAAGAGAATGGCACCAGATAGGTGCTGTGATCCCTCAGGGGTCCAGAGGTAAGGACTGGTGACTGCAGACATCGCCTGACTGGATTTGACTAAAGCATGTCCCTTTCTCAGCTCCCAGGGGAGCTGAGCCTTTGGATGGTGACTGCCAGCTGGGAGGAGGTGTGCACTTGGAGGAGGTGATAGTTTCAGAGGTCTTTTTCCAATTAGATCTTCCAGAGGAACTGCCTAAGATGATTTTGTATGAGGGATGCTTGCAGGGACTGGCTTACCAAGTGAAAGTTGTGTTCTTGTAGAAAAGAGCATTTTTAACCCACAAGGGAGCATCTCTGAGGGTCATGTGTTATGGGGAATCTGTTTTTCTAGAGAATTTGTGAGAGGATGGCTAGAGTGGAGTTAGGGCTGTTAGACCTGGAGAAGTATGTACAAGTTTCATAGGAATATGTTTTGTTGTTCTCTATTTTTTGTTTTTGTTGTCCTGACACATTTAGTCCCAAATTCACAAACTGCTGTCAAGTTGGATTCGATTCATAGTGACCCCTTCTTGAGTTTCTGAGGCAGTATTACTACAGAAGTAGATTGCCCCATCATCCTTCTGAGGAGTGGCTGGTGGGTTTGAACTGCCAGGCTTCTGATTAGCAGTGAAATGCCTTAGACACTATACTAGAGCTCCTATATTTAGTCCGGGGCTAGAAATTCACTACACAGAAGTTAACTAATCTGTATTGGATGTTGGCAATAGGGATACAGTCTGTCAGTAAGATCTGTGATTCTGTACATTGTGGTTAAATGTTCTTGTCATAGTGATGTTTCAGTTGAGTACCTGCATTAGTTTTAGGGGTTTGGATTTTTTTTTTGTTTGTTTAGTTTCAGAACATTGGAAAATTTGGAAAATATAAATCTAACTTTTCCCATGTGGTGTTGTAATCACATAACTTGGGGTGAACTGGGACAGAAATACTTGGTTTGCTTCTGGATTCCAGTTTTATACAATTGAACTTTGCTTCATCCAGAGATTCTTTGCAATTAAAATATATGTGAATTTAGCGAAAACAAAGTCTACCCTGGAAAAATAGCCTGTAGTGTATCCAAAATGAAAAGATGTGGGTGTGTTCGTGGTGGATGTCTGTATTTTGTTGTGGTTATCTGACTGATTCACCGGTGTTTAGCTTAGGTGTGAACTTCAATATGCTGTTAATCATTAGATGCTTAGTTTTGAAAGTGAAAATTGGATTTTGATTGTTGTTGAGTTTTGATTTTATTTGGTTAACATCATAGATTTCATAGAACAAGAAAGTTGAAAAGGACTGCGGAGTTTTACCTGGCTCTCCTTCATTTTACAGATGAGGAGACAGACTCAGACAACTGAACTGGTTTGGTCAAGATTCCTTAGTCAGTTCATACCAAGCCTGGAGCTGAAGCCCAGCTTAATGTGCTTAATGTACTTCTTAACCCTGCTAATTCTATGAAGTTTCATTATAAATATAAAAACTGTTATAGATCTGTATTTCTGTATATCTGTTAAGTTTCAGTAAGTTGTTAGGTTTTAATTCCAGAGAAGTTACACTTGGGAAGAGCTGTTTTAAAATGAATGGGGGAAAAAAGGGGCATTGAGGAGAACAAAATGACTTTGTCATAGAGCTTTTCCTATTTTCTCTTGCAAAATAGGAGGGTACATATATAATTAGATAAAAAGATTATAGATTTTGGAATTTACCTAGTCCATTGCCCTTTCATTCTCTAACTGTGGGTATTTTACATTGTAGTCATTTTGTTTTTACCTCTGTTTGTCCTAAAAGTGTATCTGATACTTTCTTGATTCCTGTTAGTGTTTTTTTTTTTTTTAAAATGATGTAGTGGAAATGTTAACGTTTCCTTTAAAATCTCCAGATACTAATATTTATCACATTCATAACTTTTAATGTTTAAAGCACTTTCCAGTTACCAGTTTTATCTTTATACAATAATTGGAGTTAAGAAGAATTCACATTCACACTTCACAAATAGTAATGTTTTGAAGAAGAAAAAGTAGGCCACACAGACTGTCAGTTTGTTTGAGGAGGAGCTAAAATTCCAATCTTCCTGGACTCAGTGCTAGTCCCATAACTCTAGCATTTTTAAGATGACTTCAGAGAAGTTTTAAAATGCCCGGAAGTGTTAGCACACTTAAATATCTGCTTGCTTGCCATTTTATTGTTGGAAGATGGTGAATCTGTAGAACTGGTTAGACTATTAGACTATTTTCACAGAATCTTTAACACTAAAATATGTTACTGCCAGACAAGGCTTTGGTAGGTTCCTCCATTTTACCCATGAGTTGTAGGTATCTAGCAATCATGTTTAAATGTGACAGGCACTGTGCTAGTCCTTGGTAAATGGGAATAAACCATGAACTCAGACTTCAAGAGGTTAGAGTTTTAACATTCTTGAATTGACCTGGCATATCTATAGTCTGGAAATATTCCAGTGTTTCCAGTTTGTTTGTTTATTTGTTTTTTTCCCATTCTATTTGTAGATTGATTAACTGAGCTTCCAAATTTGGTTTGGATTTTAAGAGTCCTGCAGTGTTTGACCAGAGCCTCTCAAATGGATCTCTTTAATGTCCAGACAGTTTTTAAGATTCCACACATTGCTTTTGGATGCTTAGTTGATATATCTGCTACAGGTGCTTTTTAATCAGCTATCATTTGCCTCAAAATCCCTGCTGATGCACTCACCGTAAGCCTACGGTCTTGTGACTTGGGTCACCAGAGACATTTCCCAATTCCCTGGGTATTGACATGTTTTCTTATTAAGGTACAGAATGCCTTAAAGAGAGATGAGAGTTAACTGGGACTTACGTGCATTCTTATGTTCAACAGGTACTTAGTGAGTGCTTACACAATGCTTGGGTTTATGTTAAGAGGGACTTAAAAAGATAAGAGGTAACACTGCAGTGCAGTTGTTCACAACTAAGTGGGATGCATCAGATTTCAAAACAATTATAATAAAGTGAAATAAGTGTTATGATATAGCCCATCTTGGGAAGTCCGGCAGAAGGAGCAGTTCTTCAGGTCAAAGGAGAGAGGTTTCACAGGGGAGGTGAGAGTTGAGTTGAACATTGAAGGGTGAGTAGGAGTTTACTACCTAGACGTGTAAATGGAAGACATTCCAAACAGCATCTGCAAAGGGACAATAAGAATAATAGCTCTCAGTTAACTGAGTGCTCTGCAAAGCACTTTACACATACTGCCTTATTTAATCCTCTGACGTACCTTTGTTACCTTCTTTTTTGTAGTTAATGGTGCTGAGGTTCAGAGAGATTAGGTAAATTGTCCACAGTCACATAGTAAGTGGTGCAATTAGGATTCAGTCAGTGTATGTCTGGCTTAAAACCCCTGAACTCCTAACTAATGAAACCCAGCCTCCTCAAAAACAGAGGAATGTAAGAAAACATGGGGCCTCAGGGAATCTAGCTTTGATACCCAGGGAGAAGAACAGTGCTAGAGGAAACCAGAAGGAATCAGATCATTTAGGCTGTAAATTTTTGAACCTTGTATTCTTTCATTGCTGGTAGATTCTTGTATTATCTGTGGAAATGGGATGCCATTGTGGGACTTGAGCAAAAAAGCAAGGGCAGTGTCCGAATGACACATTTAAATAGTAATGATAGAAGCACTGTGGAGAAGAGATTTGAGGAATGGTAGGCTTGGAAGGATAGGAGATGTTTGTGGTTCAGTGGAAGAATTCTCACCTTCCGCACAGAGGCCTGGCTTTGGTTGCTGGCCAGCACACCTCAAGCACAGCCACCGCCCATCTGTTTGTGGAGGCCCGCATGTTGCTGGGATGCAGCAGATTTCAGGGGAGTTCCAGACCAGGAAGGAAGGCCTGGCAGTCTGCTTCTGAAACAACCAGTGAAAGCCCTGCAGATCACAGTAGTCTGACACACAAGCGAACATGGGGATGGGGCTGGACTGGCCACTGTTTCTTTCCATTGTGTGTGGGGTTGCCATGAATCAGGGCCAACTTGATGGCAGCTAACAATAGCAGACTTAGAAGCAAGGACGCTTCTTAGGAGGCCATTTCAGTTGTCTAGGTGAAAGGCAACAGAGTTTGAGGGGAGGCAGTGTTGATGGAGTGAGGCAGATAGAATTGATAAGGCTTGATGACAATTTGGGAAGGTGAGGGAGACATGGAGAAGGATTTCCAAGTATACTGGGTTGAACATTCCCACATGTGCAGCTTGGGTGAATATGTGGCAATAAAGCTTTTGTTTATCAAAAACTGAGGATTATGGGAGGCGAAAGCAATTTGAGGCAAGAGATCATGAGTCGATTTGAGTTGCTTATGGGGGGGGGAGCTGATCAGCAGTTGCATACGTGGATCTTTAGCTTGAGGAGATAGATTTGGCAGGTCTGGGCTTGAAGCTAGGATGTGACGGCTTTAGCACTGATGAGGATCAACCAGGGAGAGTTAAGGGGGTGAGAAGCCAAGAGAAATGATGCTTGAACCTTGAAGGATCCCATATTCTCAGGGTAGGTTACCTGATAGTTGATACTGCAAAGAAGACTAACAGAGAGCAGTTGAAGAGATAGGAGGTAGTCCAGTCAGCTGGAGAACTCTTTATTTCTAGTCACTGAAACTTTCTGTGATTATATTTTAAATTACACAGCTCAAAAATTGCTGTTGCAAAAATTAAAGTGAGCTTCTGTTGCTCAAGAAGTTTTTCTTTGCTATCTTCTTGAGAATACCTAAACCCCCAGCGTTAATTTTGTCCCTAATGCAACCTCGTGCTTCATTATGCTTACCTGTGTGCTGGTAATAGAGGTTTTTCTTTGGAATTATTGCCATCCTCCCATGAAAAGAGTTGTTCCTAGGAGAGAGATACTTCAAAAATCATGTCCTTTTGTTCGCTGGAGTTTGAAAGACTATAGCGGGCAGGAAGGTGTACAGAGAATGGTGATTAGATAGAAAAGCTAAGGTCAAGCCTGTACTACTTTTAAGTATGTCCAAGTATTTCCTAACACATTTTTATGGATTGGCCTGCTTTTGGCATAAAATGAAGGCAAAGATAACCTGTCTGGTTACTCTTACAGAAATAGATCACCTAGCATGGAATATATGGCTTAATGTTTGACCAGGAGTCTTCCAAATCTCTCTTCTGAGAAATAAAATCCCTAATTCTATGAAATCACATTTCAGAAGGGCTCAGGTACTGTATTCCACTTTGCTTTAGAAGTCAGCTTATAGGAAGCTTAGATAGGCAGTGTGCTTGCTATGTCTGTTAAAGAAAATTTGTAAGTCTTGGTCTACTAGTAAGAAGGACTTGGAATTTCATTTCATAATCCAGATCATCCCAAACCATTCCCTGAATTATTGTGTTACCTGTACACAGGTCGCTTTAGCGATCAACTAGTTGATAGGCTGGCAGTTCCAACCCACCCAGAGTGCCTTGGAAGACACACTGGGCAGTCTGTTTCTGAAAGGTCACCACATAGGGTCATCAGGAGTTAGAATCTACTGGATATCAGCTAACAACAATAACAACTCTTTTAGCAGTATATAACATACATATAAAGGTAGGTTTTGGCTTTAGAAAGAGATAATGAAAAAAATACGATGGTCAAGAACTTCATTTAGTTGATTGTAAGCTTCCAGAGGGCAGGAACCTTGTCACTTACTGATTGTTGTTGTCTCCGACTCATAGCAACCCCTCCTTGGGTTTCGAGGTGGTATCACTATGGAATATTGGTTAGATACCAGCTAATACTGGTTAAATGAATGAAGTGGATTATGAATGATAAATTGATCTTTAAGATCTCATAAAATCACCAAGCAGGAAAGACTTGTCTGAGGCTGGCAGGAATTCCTAACTGAGAGAAAATCCTGGGTGTTAATCCTCTCCCAGCCTCACCTCTTTGCAATTATAATGCTTGAAAGAAATCTCAAGTAGATTCTCAGTAGAAGGCTGGGGGTCCTTGGTTTAAGTTGCCAATTTTGTTGAGACGGGAATGTTCAGGAATGGCATGTGTACCTGAAATAGAAGTTGCTACTTTGTATTCCTTGTTGGAAAGCTGAGAATCCTAGCAGCCCTAGAAATACACTTCTTAAAAGATCCCAGCCATTGACCAAAGGAAGGCTCAGAAGACTGTGGTGGTTGGTTGGTTTGTTGGGCTGAATGGCCTTAAATGGTCATCACAGTCAGCGAAGCCTAGAAACTTGTAAAAATAGGTTAGAGGTTTTATAAGATACTACAGTAGATATCTACATGGGAATCTTTCAAGCCTGAAAGTACATTTTTCCTTTGTCATTAAATCATCCATGTTCTTTGGTATAAGCAGTTGGATTTCCAAGTAGTGAAGATTGGAGATGAAGATAGTAGTGTTTGGCATAGAGCTAGACACTGAGGAAGGAGTAGTGAATCAGATAGGCATGGTCCCTACCCTCTGTAAGTGAAGAGACTATTAAATGCAGTATGAATAGTGGTGTGATTTGAGGGTGGGTTCACTAGTAGAGAGCCATGTGTGCTCATATTCTTTTGGGTATTCTGTTCTTCCATTATATATCACGTGTGGATTGAATGGAGCACCTGTGATGTGCCAGGCTGTGTGCTAAATGTTAATAAACAAAAATGAACAAGAATGATATGGTTTTTGCCTCCACAGGGAATGTATTCCCAGGAACCTGAATATTTGCAGCGCTTGTCTGCTTGTTGTAGTGTTTATGGGGTACATGTTTTCAGGTTCCAAAGTTTGTCATCTGTAGCCATCCCACAGAGCATGTTTACCTTTAAGTTGTTAGAGGCTGCCAGCCTCCTTCTACTCTCCCTCTGGATGTGCTCATGAGGTCACTCCAATGTGCACAGCTCCTTCTGTTTAGTAAACCTGATTCTGAATAAAAGTCAAAACCAGATTGAGTTTCGTGGAGGGAGTGGTGCTGACTTATAAGATATCCCATCTGAATAGACAAGACTTCTTCCATTCTATTTATGTTTCCTTTTTGAATTCCAGGTTGGTGGCAGTAAGCACACAATGAATGATCACTTGCACGTGGGCAGTCACAGCCACGGACAGATCCAGGTTCAGCAGCTGTTTGAGGATAACAGTAACAAAAGGACAGTGCTCACAACACAACCAAATGGGCTTCCAACAGTGGGTAAAACGGGATTGCCAGTGGTGCCAGAGCGGCAGCTGGAGAGCATTCACAGACGGCAGGGGAGCTCTACCTCTCTGAAGTCTATGGAAGGCATGGGGAAGGTGAAAGCCACCCCCATGACACCTGAGCAGGCAATGAAGCAATACATGCAAAAACTAACCACCTTTGAACACCATGAGATTTTCAGCTACCCTGAAATTTATTTCTTGGGTCCAAATGCAAAGAAACGCCAAGGCATGACAGGTGGGCCAAACAACGGTGGCTATGATGACGACCAGGGATCATATGTGCAGGTGCCCCACGATCATGTGGCTTACAGGTACGAGGTCCTGAAGGTCATTGGGAAGGGAAGCTTTGGGCAAGTGGTGAAGGCCTACGACCACAAAGTCCACCAGCATGTGGCCCTCAAGATGGTGCGGAATGAGAAGCGCTTCCACCGGCAGGCTGCAGAAGAGATCCGAATCCTGGAACACTTGCGGAAGCAGGACAAGGACAACACCATGAATGTCATCCACATGCTGGAAAATTTCACCTTTCGCAACCACATCTGCATGACCTTCGAGCTGCTGAGCATGAACCTCTATGAACTCATCAAGAAGAATAAGTTCCAGGGCTTCAGCCTGCCTTTGGTTCGCAAGTTTGCCCACTCGATTCTGCAGTGCTTGGATGCTTTGCACAAAAATAGAATAATTCACTGTGACCTTAAGCCCGAGAACATTTTATTAAAGCAGCAGGGTAGAAGCGGTATTAAAGTGATTGATTTTGGCTCCAGTTGTTATGAGCATCAGCGTGTCTACACATACATTCAGTCGCGTTTTTACCGGGCCCCGGAAGTGATCCTTGGGTCCCGGTATGGGATGCCCATTGATATGTGGAGCCTGGGCTGCATTTTAGCAGAGCTCCTGACAGGCTACCCCCTCTTGCCTGGGGAGGATGAAGGGGACCAACTGGCTTGTATGATTGAACTCTTGGGCATGCCCTCCCAGAAACTGCTGGATACGTCCAAACGAGCCAAAAATTTTGTGAGCTCCAAGGGTTACCCCCGTTACTGCTCCGTCACAACTTTGTCTGACGGCTCTGTGGTTCTCAATGGAGGCCGTTCCAGGAGGGGAAAACTGAGGGGCCCACCTGAGAGCAGAGAGTGGGGGAATGCACTGAAGGGGTGTGATGATCCCCTTTTCCTTGACTTCTTAAAACAGTGTTTAGAATGGGATCCTACGGTTCGCATGACTCCTGGCCAGGCTTTACGGCATCCCTGGCTGAGGAGGCGGCTGCCAAAGCCTCCAACCGGGGAGAAGATGGCAGTGAAACGCATAACCGAGAGCACTGGTGCTATCACGTCGATTTCCAAGTTACCTCCACCTTCCAGCTCAGCTTCCAAGCTGAGGACTAATTTGGCACATATGACAGATGCCAATGGGAATATTCAGCAGAGGACAGTGTTGCCAAAACTTGTTAGCTGAGCTCGAATCCCCTGATGCTGGTAATCTGAAAGATACGACATTTCTGAGCCTTATTGGGTTGAAAAGGAGAAGCTCAGACCTGTTTTTATTTGCTCAATAATTTTACTCATTTGTATCTTTTCAGCACTTATTTTAACGTAAGAAAGTTGTTCATTTTGTTTTTATAAAATACATGGGGACAGTGCTTTAAGTTTTTATACTTTCTGAAACTTTTTGTGTTCTCTAAGTACAACGAGCCTTACTGTATTTAGTGTGGCAGAGTAATAAACATCAGTGGCAGGCCATTGATCACTTCGTGACTGCTGCGCATTTACAGATTGGTGTCAGAGACATTCACTATGTTTTTGTGGTTCATATTCTCCCTAAGGTGACTGACCCTGAAGGCGCCCTCCCCATTCTCCAGGTGCATACACAGCTGTAGCAGATCCTGCCTTCACTTTCCCTGAGTTACTGGGGGGTGGTGGTGGTAGAAGGAGAATGGGCACTATGAAAATGATAGCCTAAGAAAATCTGTACCTTAGAGATCATTTTCGGAATGATGTTCAAATGCAAAACAAAGTCCCCAAGGCTTAAATTGCCCCATTAGCATTCTGACATTCTAAAATAGCAGACCAGGTGATGAATGGAAATGGAAACACGTGTGTTCCTCCAGAGTTTCTGACAGGATCAGTGAGCTGCTTAGTGAAGAAGCCTCCTGTTGCAGAATTCCTTTTTGCACCTAAATTTAGAACTGTACTCCACAAACTGCTCTCCTTCTTTTTGATTTGCTTCTCTCTCTCCCTCTTTTACCTCACATCTGTTGCTTGTATTTAGTTTGTCTTCTTCCTTCAAATATATATCCCAGATTGTTAATACAGAAATGAGACATTTCAGCTGTGATTATGACCATCATTTCATATTCCAGTTTTAAAAAGTACAGCAGCCCAGCTCCTTAAGGTGGGAATTTCCATAGTTCCAAAGAAAGTTTAGCAGATTAGAGCGAGTTCACACTATTACGGTGCCACTGTAAGGTTCTCATAGCCTGGGAACATATCACCTCTTCCTTTAATAAGAGGATTGTAAATCCTCTTGAACAGAAGTCACTATGGCTGTTCAGTAAGGTCTATTTTAACAACAGTTTTAAAAGTGGGAAAGTTCAGCCTCAAGTTAAATGGTTTGACTTACTCTTTACATCTTTAGAAGAACCACAGAAATTGTTTTTATTATTGCTATTCTTTTGATTTCTTTTGGATTGCACTGATTGTGGAGAGGACTCTATCTGGAATAGTTATTTTGAGGGTTAGGTGAAAGAATATTTTCTTCTTTGAAAAAATAATTATTTTCACAGGGAAAAGTCCAGTATTTTATCACTAATGTATGAACAGTGATATATATCAATTTCAAGGCACGTGGAAATTTACTTTTCGTATGTGCAATTTAATATAGAAGGGTTTCTGCCTGTTTGGACAATAGGTTTTGGGTAGTGTAAGGTAGGCTAAATAATCTTTTATATGCACAGATATTGTATTGCCTGTAAATTGATTTACAAATACTTAAAGCATGGTCCCCAGTGAGGCCAAGAAAGTTTCCGGTTAAGTTCTTTTAATATTAATCCCACAGTTTTCCCTTTAAAAAAAAAAAGAAAAGTAGAAAAAAAAAGTGGTTTTGAACAAGACACTTATTGTGAGGCTTTGTCGCTTGGTGGTGGAGATTTGCTCAGGAAATATTACAGATACTTGCCAAAAACAGTAATAAAATTAGCTTATTAATAAGATAGTGTTGTTGATAATTGCTTTACTATTTAAGGATGTCACTGATAAGTTAATTTGTACTTCTGTATTTAAAAACTGTAGCTTCTTTTCCCTAGTCAAAATGAATTCTTTAACATATTATACACATATATGTAATCTGTGGGAGTGCAATAATATGTTAGTAAGTTGCATTTTACATGATGCTTGTGTGTTGATACCCCCAATCGGTGGCTAATAGAATTTAAATATCTGTGTATTTATTATTAAAGTTTTGGCTTAAAGGCATAAGAAGTGTAAGACGGTGTGGTGGCTTTGTAAAAACCACTAGCTTCTTAATGTTGGTTAACTTTAGATCACTGGAAAAATTAAAAACATGTAAAGGCTAATATCCCCTTCCAATGCTTTTTCATTTCAACTCTCATTTCCCATTTAGAAATCTATGAACCTAAGCCTGCCATTTTTATTAGGTTCTCTATAAAATGATTTTATGTGTAAAAACGTATGGACAAATAACCATGTGTCTTTTCCCCCCACCATGTACAACTGGTTCTTAAAATGCCAACAATGCATTTGTGGCTGTCTTCATTCACAAATGCAACCGGAAACTTAGGCCAAACTACAATGTGCAGCAATATGGGGCTTTTATTTTGCCCAAATACAGTGAAATTTCCTTTATTCACAAAAGCCACCACATTTCAGCGTTTAGTGATAGAGCTGCTTTATTAAAAAAAAAAAAAAAATCTTAATTACGATTAAGCAAAAATGTTGCATATTTATGATTTTAAAACAAACAAAGGGCTCTAATAGGCTACTAGGAGTTGGCTTGGAAACAGTCTGTGGTCTCACAGGTTACCATTGTCTGGGGATGTCTGAGCTGTTTTCAGATTTAGGAATAGCACAGTGTCATCTTGTCTTTGGTTGCAGTCTCATTTGGCTCAGTTTCTTGCACCACCAGAGTGTTCTTTACCACTTAAGTGTATTGCTACAGCAGTGGAACAACAAAGTGATGCAAGACAGTGTAGAATAACAATAGAGGAGAAATTGTGCCCTTAGTGTTAACAATGTGCCTTTTGTTCTGAATGCCATGTTGTAGGGCATGCATTTTTTGGCCATTTTAACCCTTTAATTAATAGGCAGTAAAGATGGAACCCACCTCTGCAAAGATACATCTGTCTTAACTATCCAGTTGCTTACAGGCCTTAACAGAAACCCTAAGGCGTGCATCATCATCAGGCACTGAGAAAGGTAACCATTGGTTAGTTACACAGGGAATTCCTATGTTTAAGGGGTTGAAGATGGTCTTTGTTGTATCTTAACATCAGACTGATTTTTTAAATGATATTTTTTTGTTAGGCTAATACTAGACAGAAATCAACTGTATTTGTAAAAATTTACCTCAAACCATTTAATTTTATAGTGTGATTAATCCCAGGGCATTTGGTATGAACCAAAGTGCATTTCTTTTCTATGTGCCTGGCTCTAGTAAGGATGGCCAGGGATTTTTACAATTTGGGTGCAAGGCACTTAAGCCACTTTTAAACTTACTAGGTGGTTTGGAGTCATGCTAAATTGACTCCACAGAATGTTAGAAAACACTTTAGGCATCAGTAGCATTGGGCCATATTGGAATCTTAAAAAGTGTGAATTATTTTAAAGAGAACATTTTTGTAATTTTTTTCATCAAGAATATTTCTGGTAAGCAGAAGACTTTTAAAAAAAATTGATCTGGTTGGTAAAGGTTTTAATATTGCCCAACATAATGCTGTGGTAGCATTAAAAAAAAAAAAAAAAGAAGTATTTGTGAATTCTTTGTTTCTTAGGGGCTTGTACATCTCTCTGCTATGAACATATATAAAATTAATTGTAATTATACTCAGCTCAACTGCTACAGTTATGTCTAGGTAGTGGCTTGGGTTTTTATCGAGCAACAACTTAGACATGTGACTGTAATATGCTGCAACTGTGTACTGAAAATATGTGAAAATGGTTGAATGTGGATTGTGTATATATGTATGTAAAAATTTCTGTGAGATGCTGCTGTCACCACTTAACATTAAATATGTTCTAGTGGATTTTAATCCTAGTGGCCAGTTCTATGATACTGTATGTATTGTACAGCTGATGACAGGAGTAAGACTGTTTAGTGAATATTTGTTAAATTTTATTGTTGTGGCCAGAGATAATTTCAGAATAAAATTTTAATGTCCTACCTTACTTTTCTCCCCTTTTCTAACTGTAATTTAACTCTTGATCTTTTTCTGGTATTGTTGTTGGTCTGTTAGCCTGGAGAGTGATGAGAATGCCAAGTAGTTCTCTAACAATATCCTGGGAAGTTAAAAGTAATTGATTCTACTAGCTTGGTCATCAGCACCAATTGATTTTTATTAGTTCAACATCAATATACAAATTCCAGGTAAGAAAGACTGAAATTTTCATAGGCAATTCTTACTTATCTCAGGAAATTCTATTCCTTTACCTTTACTATTTTAATATTGATATGCCTTTATGTGACCTCTAACTTTGCTGTTTTTTAAAATTTCAAGGTGACCGTTAAGCTGTGGAAGTAGAACCTATAAATTACTCCTCCCAAATCTTTAATTCTTTCCTTTGTATAAGTACTGGCAAATTATTCTTTTGTGCTCTCACCAGTTCCACTACATGCTTTTGAATTCTTATACTTTTGCAGTTTTTGCACTTGGTGGACTCTTTGATTCACTTTCTTTGGGGTTTAATGTCTCTCTCCTTTTGTCATGCTGGGTCAGAAAATAAGGTCTGTGGACTGCATCTAGCTCATGATTTGTCAAGCTCAGTTAACACCAACCTAGGAGTTTACTTACAGATGACAGTAGGCAGATCATCTAGAAAGTTGTCAGACATTGCAGGGATGCTATGTAGATAAATATTTCCCTCTGTGGAAATAACTACCTCATTTTTATTTACACCCCTCCTGCCACCAACAGCCAAGGAATTACTTATTAGAGTGGCTTCCTGAAGCAGAAGTGGAATGTGCAAGGGGATGAGAGAAGAGTTCCCAAGCTCAGTCTCTGTCTTCCCATAGTCTATCCCATATACTCCCATCATTGCTTGATTACTTTGCTTCTCAAAGTTCTTAAGGCATGAAAAACAAGCAAAAAATCCCCTAAAATATTTAGAAACTACATTTTAGGAGATGTACAGAAGAGAAAGTTGGTGCTAAAGCAGCAGTTTAAGATGTATTGTCCAGATCTGATTTACTCTGAGCAGATTTTCAAATCTTTAAAAACTCTTTATTAAATTGGTTAATGCTATATATTCTATTAGGATCTTTGATAATCTTTTCCCCTTTGGAATCAACAACTATACAAACAAATGTTCTTGGAACTTCAAAGTTGCTGTCAAAGTAGCACTGGAGAATGTTCCTAGCTGACACTAATGTTTTCTTTGAAAAGCAAAATTGGTTTGAGTAGTGCCTAAG